CACTACCCATTCTGTGCCATCCCAAAAGGACCAGGGTTCATCCCCAAGAACAGCACATCTTTGTGAGAACAGCAGTACTTCATGACATAGTCCTTGTGTGTCTCACGTGCGTAGTCCAGAGGATTGTACAAATGTGTGACCGGATCCCGAAACACGAGGTGTCTCAGTGTCTCGCACAAGTTTGCCTCAATCTGAAGGAATTTCATTGCAATGGACCTGTCCACTGTGACAACTTCTGCAAAAGGTGATTCTGTAACCTCATTGGCTGGCTGTCCTGGTTTCTGACTGGCTGCTTTGTCTGAGTCTGTGATTTCATTGGCTATTGAAGGCTGGGTCACAGTGCTTTCATTGGTCTCTTCAGTGTGATCTTTACTAGAGGAAGGGGAAGCAACTTGTTGTATTGTTTCACTCACTGTCATATCCAGTGCTCTACTCTGTCCTGGTCCCTCATTGGCAGGTGATTCGGCAGCATTACCCTGATTGGATAATGTTGGCACAGGCTGACCAATGGGTGACTCTGTCTCTAAAGCACAGTTTCTTGGTACAGAATGGCTTTGTTTACACACTTCCTGAGATGTAGAACACCCAGCCACTACAACCCCACTGGTCGATGGGACATCTGATTCACTGTTATTGTTTGTAATTGAATAGTTGTCTCTTTCAAGGCGTGGTCGCTTCGAGGGGAAGCCATCTTCCTCTGACATCTTCAAAACACCAGTGGAGACACCAGAAATTCTTCAACCTGAAAAAAATGCAGTGTGACAAGAACTTTTTCAGCTTTTGAAATTTGCAAACATCATGTCACACTTTTGTTGTAATGTTGTCTGATGTCTTCAAAGCCACACTTCTACTATCTAAGACAACACTTATATCCTAGGAGACATAAAAAATACTAGTAATACCCCAGTATAAAAGATGAGGTGCAATACTAAACATTTTCACAAGGGGGCATGGTTGCATTGCATTGGGTTCCAGCTTTGCAGACAGACCATTTCGTGTCATAAATTTCGATAAAATTGCAATAACTACCATTGACATTTCACGGATTACAACACATGTAGTGTGTGGTGGTGAGTAGGCATTAGTGTGCTTTCCAGCTCTTGCTTTCAGCCCTCACTACTATGTTTATGGATTTGAAAGAACTTTGTTGACATTATGCCTTGTCAGCATGTCAGCATGTCAGCATGTCAGCAGAACGTAATCTCCAAGCAGATCATACGGTGGCAAGGCAGTATCCATTGGCCAGAGGAGTGTCCATTAGCCACCGAAGATCTGCCTGCAGTCGAAACGTCAAAGGCTATTAACACCTAGTTGTTGCCTACTCAGAATGTGTTTGCCAAGTAGTTTATTGCCCTAACCACCGGGCAAGGCTATTGTCCTCCTTGTGGGGCTGCATCATGTGCATGGTTGACCGTTACAGGAAGTCTGTCTATGGGTCACAACACCAACTGTTATACATGTATTGGGCAGTTTAAACAATGGATCCGGAGGAGAAGGTTCACCTTGTGTTTTGTAATGTCTGGCATGGGG